CAAGAGGTTAAAGAAAGGGGGAGAAGGTGGGTATTTACTTCTGTGGCTTCTTCCTTGCAGGAGTGGATCCACCAGGTGCTGGCTCCAGACAGTCAGCCGTGATTGGCATCACTGAGCCTGTACAGTGCCAGAGAGGAGAACTGAGCCTTGTGCACTTGTAGCCAGAAAGGCCCTGTGGCATCAGGGGACCCAGAGCCCTCCTCTTGCAGACGGGGACCTGAAAGATGGCTGTGGGTCTGGGGCAGACCCAATGGTCACCTGGCTCTACAGTGAGCACCTTGCTGATGCCCGGAGGAAACATCTCCTCAGTGCCTTCTCTCCCAGCTGCAACTCACTCGCTGAGCCCAGACCACAACTCTCCTTGGCCACACCAGGCTCTGGCCCTTGGCCACCTGCTCAGTGGCCCTTTTCCTTAACCTTTTAGGTTGGGTTGGCATGTGGCGTCCTCCCTCTCTGCTCCTGGCTCTGGTTCCCTCATGGTCCTCAGCTCCTGTCACCCCCTCCTACCCTGTGCATCTCCCTCCCTGGCCACCGGGCATCCTTACTGTGACCCTTACTGGTGTCTTCCTGCTTTAAAACAGAGTTCACACTATTGGATCGATCCTGTGTTCCTGCAGTGGCCGAGGGCTCACAGTGCCTACTGGGCACCTCTGCTCTTCCATCCCAGGTGGCTTAACCTCGCTTCAATTTGGGACTTGGAGGACATTTGAAAGACCAGTGAAGGAAAGCAGGAAGGAGAAGGATATTGCCTGTGGACCCCAAAGTCTAGATCCATGCATCTGGATGTTTGAGCACAAAGGACACACGGTAGGTTAGAGGTGGAGGTGCAGGTAAAGGTGGTGAAGGTTTAGGTGGTGGAGAGGAGGAGGTAGGGATGGTGGAGGTAGTGATGGTGACAAGGCGGTGGTGGCAATGGTAGAGGAGGAGATGGAGGAGGTTTAGGTGGTAGAGGTGGTGAAGGTGGTGGTGGAGGAGGAGATGGTGGAGGTGATGGCAGAGGTGATGGTGGAGGAAGAGGAGGTCGTGGGGCTCATGCCTCAAGTATGAGGACCCCATTGTCCTGTGATGTCCCCTGCTCTGATGACTGTGCCTTCCACTCATAGTAAGGATGAACCAGTGCACCATGTTTGATTTACACTGGAAGATGGCTGAATTTTATATCTGAGTCAGCATGTCATGGGCATTGTCTAGGGAACTGGTGGAAATCTAGAGTCACTAGTGCCACTGTACAGTGGGAAGCTGTGTGCTGGATCTATACAGATGGGCCTGTGAGGTCCTTATGTAGCTGGGAGGGGGACAGGAGGAAGAAGAGCTCTATATCTCTGTTGTCATCTGTGTTGGCAGCTGTACTGATACGGCTACATCTGTCTCTATGTCCACATCTGTATCTATGGGTGTGTCTGTCATGAGTATCTCTACCTATATTAATATCCGTGCACAGCTGTGTCTATTTCTGTATAGATGTAAATATGCATATTCGTGTCTATATCTGTAGAAATATCAATATCCACATCTCAAGTATCAGTATCAATATTTACACCTGCATATACACTTACATTGTGTCTGTATCTGTATAATATGCACATCTATATCACAATGCCATCCATGGAAAGGCATCAGCCCATACACAAACAACAATCCATGTCTACACAAACACAGAGGAAAGAGAGATACCAGCACAGGCCCATGATGGGGGCCCGGGAGAGGGAGCAAGGTTGAGACAGAGCAAAGTGATAAAACGCATGCAACCTTGCAAGGCCCAGCAATGGCACTGTGACCAGACCTGAGCAGCTCTGAGGCCCTTGGTTCTTGTGATCAAAGTAAACAAATGGGAGGAAGAGGCGAGCAAAGCCTTGCGTGTACGGCCATGGCTGGTCAGGGCTGTGAGCCAGCGATGGGGCTCAGGTGCCCTGGTGCAGAGCTGTTTCTCTCTTGGGCTTCATGATTCCTTTCCCACCTGGTGTTGCCAGGCAAACAAGCAAGAGTCCAGGGCCGGCACCTTTTACACTTGAACGGATATTTGGAGGGGAGTAAAATACATATCGGCACCCTGCAACACTCTTCAGAATGACACCCCGGGTATCTGCTATATCTTAATTCAACACCCAGCTCAGCAACTCCAGAAAGGGCCGAGGAGAGCAGTGCACACATGCATGTTCACCCTATCAGTGCAGCTGGGTGCCACGTGAAACTAGTGAGGCCATATCCAGGCTGGCGCATGATGATTTTCCCCTTTCTTTCAGCCGAATGCATCCTGGACAGGTTCCCTGTAACTAACTGTTCTTGGCCTAAGGAGGTGTCTCGCCTTTACCCACCAGTGTTGAGCTCAGCTACACAGGAGCACTGTTCTCAGTTCTCTTTCACATAGTGTAGTCATTTCCCAAGACAGTTTCTCCTGGAAACCGAGGCATCTGTGAATCTGTTCCATGCACTTCCCTCTGGTTCTTCGTGACCAGTGGCCTCGAGCTCTTGCAGCTTTCTGGACCATGAGCTCCCTATGGCAGAGGCCACAAACTCTGGATCTCCCATGCGCTGCAGCCGAGGCCCAAGTGGAGGAACTCAAAAGCCCTGACTCAATTTTCAGTGTTACGGGAGGCGCCTGAGAGCCAGGGCTGGGCTGGACCTGAGCCATGGGCATTCAGGCATCTCTGCACCGACCCTGTCTAGATGTCAGAGGCATATTTAGTTTAGGTCTTTCACACCTCCCACCCCACTCACACCGTGTAGGTGTCTGAGTTTTGCTTTTTCCTGCTTGGTGCCTTTTGTGGCCTCTGTTTTGAGGCAGGTAGAAGTCATTAGTGGCTAAACACTTAAAATGCTCTGTTCTTAGAAATGAACCAGGGCCACTGAAGAAATCTCAGTTTTCAGAATTTGAAATAAGATGTTTGTGGTGAATTTTCAGGTTCATTTATTCATTCAGCAAAGGTGTATGGAGGTGGGACTGTGTGCCAGGCCCTACTGCAGAACTAGAGGCAGCCGGGCACAGGTGGATGGGTACCCTTCCCAGACAGCTTTACATTCTAGGTGGGGCTGGGAAGGAAAACCAGTCAGCCCTTCATATCCACTGGCTTTCCATTTCCAGAGTCAACCAACTGAGAATCCCAAATACTCAAAAAACAAAAACTACATGTGTACTGAACACGATTGGGTGGCCGAGGGCAGAGGTGGCACTGTGCTGCATGTGCTCACATTCCATTCGCCACTAAAGTCTTAATGTTTAGTTTCACGACAGGCAGATACTAAATGTCTGCTCACATTTCTGCTCTCTGATATATCTGCTCACTTAAAAAAAAAATCTCAAGGATATGTGACAGAGAAGCAGTAGGAGAAGATGTGAGATCTGTGTATCACAAACTCATGTTGTATAGGAAGTGCACTACTGTATTGAACTTAGAGAATCAGAGCAAGGGGAAGACCAGAATCCTGGCACCCAGTCTTCAAGTCCTCACTGAAGCTAATTTTCATTGTCCTTGAAGCTAATCATGCCTGCGGAAACAGCATCACCAAATTGACTAAATGAGACTTTCAATTAACTGAAACAGATGGCTGAAATTTTCCAGGTGACTTTCCATATTAATTCAGCAAGTTGGCTGGATCAGGCCCCAGGAGGCTGGAAGGGACGGGGCTGTGAGAGGAACAGTGAAATACATGGATCATCAGGAGAGAAGCCACGGCCATAATCTGAACTTTGTTTTATTGCAGTGAAAGAGTCAGCAGCCAAGTTGATTCAACATCCCCAAGCCAGCATGCAGTGAGGGCAGTCTGCCCCAGGATGGACTGGCAGAGCCAGACGGCGGGGGACAGCTGCCTGTGGGCAGAGTCATTAGGTTTCTAGGATCTCCCATAGGTGAGGAGGAAGCAATTCTGGGCAGGGACGGAAAGGCAGCAGCCGGCCCTTCATAGGGCGCTGGGGTTCTGTGCTTGGTTTACCCTGTTGGGACCATGACACAGGTTTCCATTGGAGAAATGAGTCAAAAGCACCTCACTGAGTTCTTCAGGGGCCTCAGGCACTGGGCAGGGCCTGGGCCCTGGGATGAGGACAGCAGATGCCACCTCAGGAAAACATCACTCAGAGCACCAAGCCTCCTTCCTGAGTCAGACCTGAGCTATTGGGGTCCCTGCTCCTGTCCTCTTTTTTTTTGCTCCTGCCCTTTTGGAAGCTTCTAACAATGGGGAGTTCTGTGGCTGAATCACGGAGACCCAGGCTATATGGTAAAATGTGGGTTGGATATTTGCTAAGCCCGGAAGGAGCTATTCCTCACTGAAACAGCCTATTTATGGAATCACAGGGATTTATAAATGAGTGGATTCCTGAGTCATATTTGCTCTTTCTCTGAGTCTCCTATCAAGCATCCCCTCAGAGCAAGGCTTAATGATGACACAATGGGGCCAAGGTGGTATAACCAGACTTGATGCTTGGATTTGAGGGGCAAAACTGAGCTGATATTCAGATCATGCCACTTAAATAGATCTTACTCAGTTCTTCCAATTTAACCAAAAATTTACTCAAACCAGAAGTTGAAAATAATATGTCAATAATGTGAATCGGTTCCATCACTGCAGTTATTCCAGGTGGCAGCATTAGAACAGGACTTGACACATAGGTGCTGGAGCTGGCCAGGAAAAGAAACCCTCAGAAATGCTGCTCTAAAGTGGGGCTCCATTTACAGAGGGTCTGGTTGTGTGGGTTTTCATGGGTGGAAGACCCACACCAGATCACCCCATAGATGTCACCCCGGGCCTGCCATGTGTGTGGAGGCCCAGCCTCAGGGGATTATGTGCTCCTGGTGTCAGCTAAGAAGCAGTAGTTCCTGTTGACTCTTTAGTATTTCACTTTCTTCCCCAGAAAACGGAATCATACAGCAGCAGGAAGACTTTAGAAAATATACCTACTTCTTAGATGCTTAAGTCAGGAGTAAAACAAGTATGACCCTGAAGAGACTGTGGAAACTGTGTGTACTGGGATTCTTTCCTGACCTATCAGGGGGGAGGGGACAAACCTCATCCGAGGGTCATCTGGTGGCATCATCTCCAGGTCGTGGGTGGGTCCGTTTAGCCCGATAACGTGGAGGGAGATGCTGGGGTTCTCACTGCCTGCCTGCGAAGGAAGGGGACAGAGACAAGAGTAAGTGACCTTGCGCTGGAGAGCACCTTGGCTTTGCAGAATCTTCCCCAGAAGACTCCCATGTGGGACTCTAGCAACTTTGGGGCTCAATGCTAGGGAGAGAAATTCAAGTGGGTGACAGATTGGTCATACACAGAGTTTTAAGCAGGGCAAAGGGATAATCAGGCCAGTGCTTTTCCTTCCCAGGAACCCCCTCCTTCCCATTCCATCTACTGGCTCAGTCTGCCATCTTGATCAAGCAGTCTACTGGCCTTGGTGAACCACATGGGAGGAGAAAGAAAACTACACCAGGGGAGAGAAGATGTCTTTGGGGGTGAAGAGGGAGTGGTGGGGAACACTGATCAAGGTGTCATGGCTCAGGGTGGGAGGGGGAGGATCCTGTGACAAGGAGCCAAGACACCATTCTGCTCCCTGCTGCCTTCCCTCTGGGTAACAAGTGCTGTCCTGGATGGATCTGGGGGAAGATGTGATAATTCCTCACCAGGGTATGAGGGCAGGGCTGATGTTCTCCCTCCAGCTCTGTACCTGCACAAAGCACTCAGGACTGGGGAGGAAGTCAGCCCAGAGCCAGGTAGGTTCCCCGACTCCAGGATCTTATTTGGGAGTGGGTGGGAGCAACAGGGCAAAGGCTATCTGGGGGCAACCCACTTCCCAGTCCCCCTTCTGTCTCTCTTAGGCAGAAGCTTTCTTTCTCTCAATAAATTTTTCCTGCTCTTAACCTCCATTGTTCCTAGAATTCATTCTTCGATTTTAGAGAACATGAACTCGTGTTTCAGATATCTAGCAGGTTTGGGAGTTACAACTCTTCCCCCCATATCATTTTGGAGGTCTTCCACTGAGATTACTGGTCAGAGGTAAGAGTTTGCTTTTGTTATAGGTTCTAACTTTGGTCTTTTTGCTTCATAGATTGCAACTTTTGTTTCATAGGCTCTGGACATTTGTTTCATAGATTCTGGTTTTTGTTTCATATAAATTCTGGCCTTTGTTTCAAAAGTGTCTTAATTTTAAGCCGTGTGTTTTAAATGTTTGCAAATTTCTTGTTTTTCTTATGCAATGTCTTTTAAAACAGAATACTACTCAGCCATCAAAAATGAGAAATTAGAGACATGTATTGCTAAATGGATGCACATTGAGGCAATACTCTTAAGTGAAATAAATAGGACACACATGTGTAAATACCGAATAGTTTCTCTAGTGTGAGAAACTGAAAGTGTAAATAAGGACTAAAAGGTATAATAGATACTGTGAAATAGGAAGAAAAGGGGCAAAGGGGAAGGGGAAGTGGGAGGGGTAGGGGAAAGGAAAGAAGGGAATGGAATTAATATGAGAAAATGAAAAACTGGAAACAAAGTCTTTGTAAATAGGGAGGGATGGAGGGGTTGAAGGGAGGGCAGGGGAAGAGGGAAAAATAAGAACCAAGAGAGTATGTAAAGGTGCATATCTCCAATGATGAATGTCATTATATTGTACACCTAAAATGTACCAATAAAAGGATATACAAAAAAAAATAAAATTACATTTTATTCTTGTTTTGTATGTGTTGCTTTTGGACTTAGTTGCTTAAAAATGATGTAAAATGAGTCTCTTATAAAATCATCTCAGATAAAGACAGTTCAGGGTTTTCTCTGCCCCTTATAGAATGCCAAATGGTGGTTCTCTGCCAGCTAGAATTGCCTTTAGGGCAGCTGCCACTCTTAAAGCAAAGGACAGGTTTCTCTAGTTGCCCTCTGATGAATCCCCATTCCCATCGATGCCAATGGTGGGTGGAATCTTGACCAGATAGGCAATTGGGTTCCTTTTGGAGACAGATCTCTGATTGCATGGAACTAGTGGAAACTTAGGTGGGAACTGAGGGGTCATAGCCAGGTCTACTCTCTGGCGCATACCCAAAGGTCCCTCAGAAGAAACTAGCTCCTGTCAGCCTGTCTGGGTAATGAGCAGAAAATCTCCACATCTCGTCCCTATCTGGACTTCTCAACGTGGTAAAAGGGGAACTCTGTCAGGGATCATCAGATATCCTCTGTCTCAGAGTGATCTGAAGCGATGCTGTCAGAGCCCTTTCTTAAGCGTCCATTAAGAGTTGAGCTACAAGTTTGGACTGCTTCCTCTATTACTAGTAAGATAGACCTCTAGACAAATGTTAAAAAATCAAATCTTTGATAGATGAAAAACTACCTGAACCTACTCTGCGCCTCCTAGGCATGATGTTCATCATTTATGTGTGTAGGGGAGAAAAATGCCTTTTCTGATATGTTATGGACTTTGGAATGTTGACTGCGGACTTACAAAATGCTATGTGATGATTTTTTGGATGTTTAACCAGCTTGAGCTTTATTTGGCCTTTTTCTCTCTCTGCTAGTGAGTTAAAAACTCCCCTTAAACTTTTCTCCAACTTGTTGGAAGTTCATTTGAAAATCCCTTGTAGTCAGACTCTTCCTCCTTCCAGAAAGTCAGACTAAGGCAACTCACAACAACTCTTTTATCTTACACTAGGGAAAATAACAATCAGTAACTTGCATTTGTGTTTTTACATGCTAACTGGAATATGGGACTATTTTAGCCAGACTTTCTCTTCGTTCGTGTGTGCATAGGAAGTCGATAAGAGTGCCTTTACTATGTAGACTGTGGCTGTTAGGAGGACCTATGAGTTTCAAATACTTGGTGAATTTTAAAATGGACTCTAAAGGAGTAGCCTTGTCTTGCTGCTAATAAAAGTTGCCTAAATGACTGGATAGACAAGAGAAATTTCTCAGTTTTCTCTGTCCTAGGGCCCAGGGCAGAATCTCTGACTTACCATCTCTGGAGGTGATCCCTTTTGCAGGAAAAGTGCCCTAATTTGACTGTTGACCTATTTTCCTCTCTTTGTCAAGGAACTAGAAAATAGTGGTTTAAATCTCTTAGTTTGCTAGCAATACTTCCTTCTCTAAATATGACTGTTATGTCTGAAGTCAATTGTAACTTGCACTTTGAGAGTACCTAATGGAGTAAGGATATGAGTTACCCGAGGAAGATAAGATTGCATGCTGGTTAAGGGTAGGTAGTCCAGTCTGGTTTTATTTTCTGGTTCTCTCTTCAGACAGTAGCTACCTACCCTGGAGTGGTATAAACCTTGGTGGACGCCCTGGGGACACCCTAGAGGGCACAGGAATCAAGAAGAGACTTATGGGACACCATATTTGTTTCTCTTGTTTCAGATTAGGAACTCCATATCTGAAAGTCTAACTCCTTTGGAATGTATTAGGGAGCAATTTAGTATTTCTCTACACCCACGTATGGTGTGCCTACCTCCTAAAGCCAAGTACACAGAGGAAAGTACTATGATGCTATCTCACAATTAGAATTATACTGTAAAAGAGAGAAGATCATCTTATGTTGAGATTTTCTTTATATTAAGAAGTAATTCTTGCTTGTGTTCAAATGTAAATGTGAGCCATAGAAAAATGAGAGACACCTCACCCTTAAGTTTCTCATTCTTTTTTTTTTTTTTTTTTGGTACCGGGGCTCAAACTTGGAACCTTGTGCTTGCAAGGCAGGAGGCTGAACCACTGAGCTAAATCCCCAGCCTCACCCTTAAGACATTCAGTACCTCTAAACCTGAGACTACTCCTCACCCTTTAGAACCTGAGAACAAAGTTTCCAAGACAACTTTAAACCTTGATCACAAGGTGCTGAGGGTGGAGTTTCTATCCAGCTATAATTAATCTCTATGAGGCTATATCTATCCTTAGCTAAGCTGTTCAGGTGCCTCAAAGACAATATCCCTTTCAGAAAGTAAGTGGTAAATATGAAACTACCTGTGTTCATGTGTATTTTTCTCTCAGTGATCTAAGACAGATCAAATGAGACCTAAGAAAGTTTTCAGATGACCCTGATATGTACATTGAGGTTTTTTACTCAGACCTATGGACTAGATTAGAAAGATATACTGTTACTCTTAAATCAAACATTGATTTCTAATGGGAGGCAAGTAGTATTACAAGTTGCTACTACATATAGAGACAAATATTATCTTAATTTTGGAAGCTCAAAAGACAGGCAGCCAGGGGAACAACTTGTTCCTACTGGAACACAAGCAGTTCCTATACAAGGGCCCCACTGGCCTGCCAATACATTTTCAGGCATGTATTCTTGAAAATCTAAGCCCTTCAATTATTTTAAATTGTCAGTATTTACCAGGAAAAAGCTGAGAACATTCTTGGATCCTGATTTGTTAGAAGTAAATACTATAGTTTTTTCAAGTCACTCTTGCAATATGTAGATGGTGTGCTGTTATGTGCCCCCTCAGAAGAGCTTTCTAGCCAAGACACCTGTGCTCTGCTGAATTTTCTAACAGACAGGGGTTGTGATGTTTCTGGATCTGAGGCACAACTTTTCAGCCTTGTGGTGGAATGTTTGGGCCTTATTATATCTAAGGGAGCCCAAGAACTGGGGGTGGAGAGTTAAACCAGTTCTTTCCTTTCCACAGCACAAGACTCTGAAGCAGCTGGGGACATTCCTAGAAATTTCAGGCTCTTGTGGCCTTCAGATGGAGGGATATGGTGAGATTGTTTGACCCCTCTACTGGCTTGTAGAAAAAACTCAAGAGACAGACACCTGGGAACCTTATTTCCAGACCAAATTCCAGAAGCTCAAGCAAGCACTTTAGGTGTCTACCTATAGGATACCATTTCAGTTTGTATGTTAATAAAAGGTGAGACATGGCTTTGGGAGTGTTTCTACAAGATCAGGGAGCTGCTCAACAGCCTGTAGGATATTTAAGTCATAAATTAGATATTATAGATTCAGAGTAATCATTAAAAGAGTAAGCCCCAAACAATATAGTTAGAACACTTTCATTCTCTTTCAAGAGGCAAAAAGCAGCCATTCGGATTCTTTGATTATTGGTTTGATTTTCTGCTTGGCAATTCAGTTGGAGTCAATCATAGCTTTTGTCTCTGGAGACATGTTTTGCTAAGGATCCCAGATCCACTCTG